ATGACAGGCCACTGCTCCCCATCCCCCCGCCCCCCAGCCAGTCTCCCCCATTGCACCATGCATCTTCACCTTCTCCCACCACCGCAGCATGTAAGTGCAGCCCCTCCCTCCACACTGCTGTATCGGGTGCCCATGAGGGCACTCCCTGGTGTGGGGGCAGGCAGCAAAAGCTGGAAGAAGGAGGGGGAGCTTAGAGACCTGTTTTATTATTGGAGCCTAGAGACTCTGCCAAATTGATATGGGAAGTGATGGCCCAGCAGGAGCCCAGAGGCTGCAACTTAACCCCTTGTGAGCTAGAAGCAGACTGCAAGCCACCAACTGAACAGCCCTGACCTACACACAAGTGTAATACCACAAAAAAGTGAAGTGCATGATGTGGGGTAGGGGGGGTGGCTTTTGAAAAACAGCCCCTTAGAATTCAGTTGGCTTTTGAAGTAACTGACTGGCAACAGGATTAGCTCGAGGACAGTCTTTCTTAGAAACCGAAGAGAGGAGCAAGTATTTTGCTGTCCAATGGGAAGCGGTGGGGTTATTTTGGTCAGTGTATTACTGGGAGGGGGCTGGGGGGGTGGGGTTGGTAGTTCCTGCAATAAAGCTAATTCAAATTTAACAAAGCATGTGCTTAAGACAGAGATGGACAATATGGCAGATCTGGCCCATGCCAGACTCCATTTCCCAGAACCCCTGCCTGTATCACTTTGTCCGGTTTCCACGGAGACCCCAGTAGCTGTGGTGCTGTAACAGCATGGGGCCAGGGTTTCCATGGAGACCGGCCCCAGCAGTGCTGGCAGGGTGCATGGCTGGATGGGGAGCTGCTTCAGGACTAGGAGCGGGGTCCAGAGCAGCATGCGGGCAGCAGATCACAGCTCTGACCTGGCTCTGGACCACGATGTCACTAGTGCAAGATCCCAGCCCTAGTCCCAGAGCAGCTCCCTGCCCAGCCATACAACCCCTGCCAACAGTGCTGAGCCTGGTCTCCATGGAAATTCTGGCCCCATGATGTTACAGTGCCGTTGCTACTGAGGTCTCCATGGAAACTGGTCTTAGCAACACAGGCAGGGGCTGCTGGGAAATGGAGTCCGCCATGGGCTGGACTTTTGCCCACCCCTGGCTTAAGCCCATCCTATGTGTTTTGCCAAAGACTTAAGCATCCGCTTAACTTTCATCACTTGATTGAATCTGGACCCAAGCACTACTGATTCCATCAGGAAGCAGTAGACACAGCCATTTGCAGACACTACTAGCAAGAGACATGATTGCTGTGGTGGTGTCTCCCAGTAAAACAACAAGTATATGTCATGGTTGTGGATTTAAACACTTGTCAGAGTTGGTTGTTTCCTCTCTTTAATACAGCTCAGCATCTCTTCTAATGACTCTCACTGTGCAAGAAGGTCAGGCTGAGGGTTGTCCTATGCAGAAAACACTACCTTTGGGAGTTCCACCTGCACATCGAGGAGAATTGCACTTTAAGTCTGCATGAAGGGCTTCCTTCATGAATCCCTAAGGGAAACAATTTTATTCTAATAAAAATGTATGCAATGCAGTTCCTGTCTGTGGTTCAAAAATGTGTGTTTGTGCTGCCGGCGATCCGGACATGTCAGCATTCCCTTCAGAAGCTTTTATTCTCATGGGCCTGTGCCTCTGGGGTAGAAATTTGCTCCAGGCTGAAACACAGCAGACAGAATCTAAGCCTGGTGTGAATAATTTCCCAGTTCCTCTGTTTGTTGTTTTAATCCTCTCCAAGCTGGAGGGATGTGCAACTATATTTATACCTGTAAGTATTAACAATATTGCACACCAGCTGACTTGTGGAGTGCACTCAGAATGCCTTATTTTCTGGGGAGGATTTGGATGCCAGTGAAAGCCAACAAATGCATGCTCAAAACTGCATGCAGCAACTGTACTGTCTTAGCTGAGATCTCAAAACATAATGAAAATATCAGTGAATGACAGCTCAAAACTCATTCTTTCACTCATTTGACAGATACAGATACTGAGGACCAGATATTCATCTTAGCCAGGAGGACACCTTGTATTTCAGCAGAAGCCGAAGGAGATACCAACAGTTCTAATACCTACTTCTTTTCTTCTGCTCTTCCCCACACCAACAATGGTCCCGGTAGTTATTGATTTAAAATGATACATTAGGGCATTTAGTACACAGGATCTGGGAGCAATATGTGTGGACCATAGAAGGCACTTTCAATTCTTGTAGACTTAAATGGAATATTAGATGACATGGGTAGGAAAATAGGACTAAATGAAAGGGCAGATGTTCTTTTGGTTAAGGACTGGAATTCAGAAGGAGCTATGGTCTGTTCTTAGCTCTGCCACAGACTACATGTTATTGGTTAAATTTCTTATCCTCTCTGTGCCTCAATCCCCTATCTGTAAAATGGGGATATTGCTACTTCTACTGTCTTTCTGTCTCTAGTCTGTTTAGGCTATAAGTTCATTGGGCACAGTGACCATCGCTTGTTATGTGTCTGTTTGTACAATAGTTGGAGCAATAGAGACCTGCTCTCAGAAGGGGGACTGTAATCCAACTAGCACATGTTGATAATATGCCCATTCTTTGGTTCAGAATCAGAGGGTGCATCTACACATGCACTTTACTACAGAATAGACTAATTTGCTGCACAGTAAAGTGTAACTGTCTACACATACAGTGGTATTTGGTCACAGTAAACTAATTAATTTTGCTATAAGATAGTACTGTCTTACAGCAGAATAAATAACTGCAATTAAATGCAAGTGTAGACTCTGACACAGTTTACTTCCAGTTGGCCCAGGCAGCAGAGACCCAGACTCCTGCCTGCCACCTAACCATACAGTTCTATATTTTCAGCAAACTCGTGCCCCAGCCAGCCATTCCACTGTCTGACACTGCTACCTAGAGCCCAGGACTGACTCCCCCATGCCCCCTGCCAGCCCAGGCCTGCTGCATCCCAATCAAATTGCTCTGGAGTTTATTCCTTTGCATTAATTGCAAATGTAGATGCACCCACTTTTAATGCCTGTTACTCTAGGCCAGATTTTGCTCTTATTTAGAGTAGAGTCAAAGTAGTGGAGCCCCACCAAAAGCTAGCTTATCCCTTACTCCTCTGGAAGCAGTTAATTTTCTTCTCTAGGGGCACTCTACATGTACAGCCCATACTGTGCTATACACGCAGCTCAAAATTATTTTTAGCAGCTACTTCACCATAGTGGCGTGCTATACTGGGGGAGCATGCCACTATGGCAAAGTAGCTGCTGGTCACATGTAGATGCCCATGGACGCTGCGTCACTGTAGCACATTGCTGCAGCAATATAGCATCATGTGTAGATGCACCCTATACAAAGAAGCACGTTGAAAGATGTGCCTGACTTTTGCTTTTGACTTTGTTTACTAACAGTGAAAGTCGAGCACAATTGTTTTCTAGTTACACACATGGAAAATACAGAGCAAAAACTCTCCAATTGCCTTAGTAGCATGAAGCAGGTCAGGTCTTATTTTCAATAGGCATATTCCTTGGGCAGCTTTCTTTTAGGTTATTGCGTTGTAATTGCAGAAGAAACTAACCTTTTTAACTCTTATGTTGATTATAATGCTTGCTAAAAGTAATAAAAGGACTTTACAGTGTGTTGCTCTTTTTTCAATAGTGCCTCCACTGATCCACTGCTTTTAGCCCAGAATGGAAAAGTATTCTGTCTCTTGCTTTGTCAAGGTGTGATTATATATAAGTAGCATGAACTTGAAGATGACAAACCTTGAGAGTGGAATTGAAAAAGGCCTTTCCATTACTGGACAGCCTTGATGTGCAACAGATAATTAGATGCATGCAAATTTGGGGAGAAGAGGCTGTTTGAGTTTAGGATTTGTTTATTAATTACTAGATTAAAATGTTGACTAGGCATCAGGCGGAGAAAAAGAACTTACCCAGGACTGCAGATTTTGCGTCTATTTCTCCATTCAGTTACCTTGTTGTAAATGAGGAGTATCCTCTTTGAGACAGTGCTAAGGCTAAGGAAAGTGAGGACTGAAGTAGAAAACAAGTGCTTAAATCCCTAGTGGTCTTGGGGGCTGTTACCCCCTTCATTGTGACAACAACAACTGCAAAATAAGACCAGGGCTTTGAAAAGAGTAATAGTTCTCAAGTGCATTCTTGCATTTTGATAGGAATCTAGTTAAAGGATCAGGAGGTAAATGACTGCTGTTCCATTGAAGCCTCCCTCTGAGGAGCTGGTCCTAAATACCATTCTCTTAGCTTTGAGGAAGGCTTATAACAGGGGGGCTAAGGACTTCAATAATGAAGAGCATTCCTATAGAAGGTGCTGACATTCCTCTATGTTTTGCTGACTCTGGTGAGACGGTGTAATGCTCTAACACAAATGAAAACAAATACAAAATTGCTTTGCAATGTTAAATAATTCCCTCTATTACAGCCCTCCAGAGGCCATCATTACAATATCAGTAATTGCCAGCTGTTAGTTGGTCTGCAATACTACTGTTTCCCCTATACCTGGAACAGGAAATAGGCATTAAACATCAGGCGAGAGACTGTAGTAACTGTTAGCAACTGCTGACTTTTTAATGGTAACAGTTCTATAACTTGTACTGTAGAACAAGTGAATTCGGAGATTGAATCGGTCTTTTCTAGCTCTAGCCTCCCCCAGCCCTGAGGACCAGACATCTGTACTGGGTGGTGTTCAGACTTCCCTTCAAGTACCATGAAAGTCCAGGGGACTCAAAAGAGTGCCTAGATATAAGCATGTGCTGAATTGATATCCTGTATCAGAATGGACTTAAGTATGGGTTAAAAAATGTACTGTATTAGAGCCTGACTGGCTATCTTCATAGCCAAAGTTTAACACCTTAAATCCAGAGGCTTAAGGCATTGCAACTGCTAACATTTTCACCTACCACATCTCTTCACAGCTTCCCCTGTGTGCTTCAGGATCAGGTCCCCTATGGCAAATGTATCATTTTAACATTTCTCTTGTGTTTTTCTTCCCGCAGTATGTGGCATTTGCCTCCCTCTTCTTCATTCTGGTCTCCATCACCACTTTTTGCCTCGAGACCCATGAGAGATTTAACCCCATCGTGAACAAGACAGAAACCGAATTCATTGGAAACGACACCCAGATCCGACACTACAGGGAAGCAGAAACTGAGGCCTTTCTGACCTACATTGAAGGTGTCTGTGTGGTGTGGTTTACATTTGAGTTCCTAATGAGAGTGACGTTCTGCCCAAACAAGGTGGAATTTATCAAAAACTCTTTGAACATCATTGACTTTGTGGCCATTCTGCCTTTCTATTTGGAGGTTGGACTAAGTGGCCTGTCTTCCAAAGCTGCTAAGGATGTCTTGGGCTTCCTACGAGTAGTCCGTTTCGTGCGAATTCTGCGAATTTTCAAGCTGACTCGCCATTTCGTGGGGTTGCGGGTCCTGGGACATACCCTCCGTGCCAGCACAAATGAATTCTTGCTGCTCATCATATTTTTGGCATTGGGCGTCTTAATCTTTGCCACGATGATCTACTATGCTGAGAGAATAGGTGCTAAACCCAATGATCCTAGTGCCAGTGAACACACACACTTTAAAAATATCCCCATCGGCTTCTGGTGGGCTGTTGTCACCATGACTACCCTGGGCTACGGAGACATGTATCCTCAGACTTGGTCAGGCATGCTGGTGGGGGCTCTCTGTGCTCTTGCAGGCGTGCTGACCATTGCCATGCCTGTCCCCGTCATTGTGAACAATTTTGGAATGTATTACTCCTTAGCTATGGCTAAGCAGAAGCTACCAAAGAAAAAAAAGAAGCATATCCCGAGGCCACCCCAGCTGGGATCCCCCAATTATTGTAAATCTGTCGTAAACTCTCCACACCACAGTACTCAGAGCGACACATGCCCACTGGCCCAAGAAGAAATTTTAGAAATTAACAGAGCAGGTAGGAAACCTCTTAGAGGAATGTCCATCTGACCTTTAACCTCCACCCCTTGTAGAGATTTAAGATTCAGTCAGACTGCTTTCTTAGAGCAATGGGTAGCACATTTATCCATTATAGTCCCACCACCACACATTGAATAATATGTGTGAAGTCTAGGTTGCAGGGACAAATGATACAGGGGAGGCTGATCAGCAAAATTAAGGATGACAGCATGCTCTAAGGAGCCAAAACTTTGGTTCTGGTTAAGGGTATATAGATTTCAAGATTATTTTGAAGAGGAATTGCATTTAGTAGAAGAATTTTTAGTCTTCTGCAGCTGTGTTGCTGGACTGCATAATGCATCACAGAGGCTCCTCAGATCTGAATGCTTCCTAGTGGAGTAGGAGCCAAGTATGCAGCAATTACTGAGATGTTTGACAAATCAGATTGGGGGGGAAAAAAACTAGATGTTTTTTCATTTGTTCCCAGCTGTGACCTTTCAGCTGTTTTGGATTGGCAGATATTGTTCATCTGATTAAAGAAACTGGGTACCCAGTAAGTTGAAGGGACAATTACAGCAACATACATATTCACAAGGCAATCCCGTCTCCTTCAGATGATTAACTGCCAAGTAGAATGATAGCTCAATTTTTTGACACTAGCGCAAAATGATTCAGAAGGAGACAAGTCTAGATGTAAGGATGTTTATTCCATAGCATGCAAACCAACCCATTTTATAATGTTCCACAAGAGTTTAGCATTTAGAGTCATGAGGAGTTTTGAACTACAGCAGCTAAGACAAATATGCTGTTCTTGAAAGTGTGGGTTGATGCTCTCTCAACCCCTAGCAGTAAAGGTTGGCTAAAAAAGTAATAGAACTGGTCATTATTGGCAGATTTTGTACTAAATAGCAATGAGTGCTAATGCCACGATAGGGTATTCTTTTTTTTTTAATTACATCAGTTCACATCAGCAACAGGCAAAGAACCCAACCAGAGTAAAAGTAATTTCATACTATTTCCACTGGGGGAAGAGGAGGTAGAAGAATACTAGTCACCATGGAATATATTATAATATCCCTTGGCTAGTGGTTAATTATGGGAATATCTCAGTTTTATGAGAATCCTCATACAGCACAAAGTTATGGGACTCCAATCTGATTATTTCAACCCTATAATCTACCTCTACCCACGGAATATCGCCATTTATTCTATGGAGATGGTGATTTCAAAGTAAATAATCACACTGAAAACAATACTGTAACCATTTGGCAGAGGTTCCAACAACATCCCTCTGTGAGCAAGGTTTTTTTCCAGCTTATTATAAAATAGTCCTATGTGTTATATTAGGTAGAACAGGTGACCAAACAAGTGATTCTTACTAACCTTTAGTCACAAGCGACGTTTTGAAAGAGGTAGTTTGTATCTATGATGGTCTTGTGCTGTTCTCATTTCTTACTTTGAAGAAAATTCTAATCGTCACTCCCGGTGAGTGAGATATTCTCTCTCCATCTCATAGCCATCCATGTTGATGTCATTGAAAGAAACACAAAGGAAGCAAGGTTTTCCTTTGTGTCTGACTTCACCAATACCAGCACTAATTTCTGAGAGGTGAGAGGCAATGGAAATGTCCTTTTTTTTTCTTTTGTGCAACTATCTAAAAATCCATTCAGATGATTGGAATGGATGATTGGTAAAGAGTTTTCATGTTTGCTTTTTCTTTGAAGATTCTTCCATTGTATCAGGTTGACCACTATCCATGCGATAGACTGTCTCTTTACTATCGTAGCCTTTGGGCATACGCGCATAGTTTTATCATCCATTCCCCTCAGGTTGCAAATGCTTATTCACAAAGTCATTTCCAAGCAAGTTAGTAGCTTCGTCATGAGTAGAGACTTTTGTGGCTCTAGAAATTGAGAGGAATAGAGGGTGGTAACAAAGTGGTACATCGCATACCTTGATTGACATCCAGTTGCCATCTGTAAAGTGAACAGAGAAATGCAGGGCTTTAGCAGAGAGCTAGAGATTAAATTCCTACCTGGAAGTTCCTTACTTTATTAAGTTCCTCCAATGGCATGTCCTGGTCCTCTGTGGGAACTGGAAGACCAAGAACTCTACGAGTTCCAACTCAACTCTGCACTGGTATCCTGAGAATACATGTAACTTTGGTTCAATGTGGAACTGGTTTGTCATCCTGAGTGCTCTAAAATATGCTGTTGCTGCAGTACGTATGAAGTATTGCAAGTGACAGCAAATGATCTATTTCTGCAATAATTAATTAAAAGAGACTATTTTTATATATGTATATACACACACACAAGTATATTTTTCAGCAGTACTACAACACACTTGTATTTCAGCTGGTGAAGGTAGGCTCAGTAACCACCGTTACTGTAGTTCTGATTCGAATAATCATTATGCACTGCTGGTAGCAGATATATTAGCCTTATGTTTTAGTTTCATATAAAAGAAGGTATATCCTGTGCAAGAAAGAATCAAAAGTGAACTGTTAAAAGACAGATTCGCACAACTTTGTCTCTAAATTTGAAGGGCCACCAAGTTAATTCATCCTGATACTCACATCTTTACTATTGCATATTAATGGGTATGTAAAACCAGGGCTTCAGCATTACATGAACATCAAGGATGTGCAAATAATAAAAGTTCTCTGTGCTATAAAATCTGAATCAGCCACACTGGCTAGTTACAGATAACTGGTTAACTTACTATTAGGAATCAAAAATAGGTTGCTCTGTTCCAATATCTCTAGAATAATATCCAACTCACTCAAAATATTTTCCTTTAATTTTTAAATCAAATTCCAGTGCAGAAATTTGTAGGATATATAAGGATATAACAGGACTCTAGCAGTCTTTAAAGTGTAGAATATTTAGATGCTTGTAGGAGATATCACATGAAGTTATCTATTCCATTTTTATCTTATAGCAATGCACTTTAAAACTCATAAAATGGCAGACAAAGCAAAAGGATTCCACTTCTGCAGCATTTTTATTGCCAGATTCAGTAGCATATGCTGAGTGAAATGCTATTCTTCATCTCATGTGTGAAAACTCTGAAGTGAACCAAAGTCCACAGGCAGTTCTGCACAGCCAGCTTCTGGTGCCTTTGCTCAGACTGTGTAGGACTGTTCTCCAAAAGAATTTGCAGCGACTATCTAGAGCATAACTTAGCCCTTTAACTATGGCACCTTTGTGTGACGAGATGCATTTTTGGACATTTGTGGTCTTGGTCTTCCTTGTACACACAAACAGACTCTGTTGGACCAGAATCAATTACACATTTTAAAAAGTGTTGGGAGAAATTGCGAACATTGCTATAATTGTCCCTCATTTTCTGACTAGTTCCAGTGGGAAGTGCTATTGATTTAGCTGGGAGAGAGACCATAAAGCATTACTCAGTTCTGGTGTAGAGCATTCAGGTGTTTGGTTTAACATTTAACTACAAGGTTGTCATTCCACCCTGGACCCAAACTCAGAAAAGAGGGAACTGCCCCACAACTGGCCATGGCTCCTTGATTCTCAGCAGCTCAGTCCCACTAAAGGGATAACTTTAATTAATATCACCCATGCAAAGTGGACCTTAGACCAATAAAGAATTGGGTGTAGCAGAGACCATGCCCATGCAGCCATGCTAGCCTTTCCTGCAACAGTTCCTCCCCTTCCTTTCCCTTAAGTTGCTGGCAGGGAAGGGACTGTCTGAGGCACACAAGTTGGTGAATTCACCGCAGGAAGCAGCAGACCCACTACTACCATCTTGACACCACCAAGGCTTCCCTTGCACAGAAGGACTAATCCAACATCAGTCTCCAGCCATTATAACTTCACTGTGTGCTGCTTATGTAGCACATACTTACTGGTCTTGGAAAATTGGATAGCTGGTCCCAAAACGGTACCAAGAAGCAAGTTTTACCGGCGAACTGTAAAACTCCTTGCAACATAGGCCTAGTATATCCTGTACACCAATGAGGGCCAATCTTTTTGGCAGGTGGGCTACAACCTACCCCTGCATTCTCCCTGAGTGCCACTCTGATCCCATTCTTCTGCCTGATTTGCTGCTCTGCTTTCTGCATCCTGCCCGGTGCTGCCTGCCTGATCTGCTTCTCTGCTTCCTCCCAAATCTGCTGTTGTGCTGCCTATCCCCTCCCTGATCTGCTGTGTGCCACACAGACACTGCCTGTGCTATTTGCAACACATGAGTCACAGGTTGGCCACCCCTGCTATAGACAAATTGGACATACCTGCCTACTCCTTAAAACACATCCTTACATATCCAGCCTCTGTCTCCACTGATTCAGACCATATTACTATTATTGGGTAGTCAAACTCATAGTCCCATTCTACTGTGTGTGCTAAGAGACCACCTTTCCCTCTAAAAGAAGAGATATAAATGGTAGGGGGAAGGAAGCACCCTTATCCCCATTTGACACATTTGTCTGGGGAAACATAGAGTATTGTGGCCAGAGTCAGACATGTCATTCAGCCTAAGACCAGAAAGTTTTGCTCAAGAATTTAAGTTTCAAGTTTGTGACAGAGCTCCAAACCAACTCATCAAACCTTTCTTTGGGATTTCTTTATGAAAGGAAATACAGTTATTTATTATCTTCTATAAGCCTTTTGTTCACCTGAGGGATGTCACTGACTTCATGTTTACATCCTTTTATATTCATAGGAAGAGGTAGATGTTGTATATTACTGTTCAAACTACAACGGTGGGTGAGAATATTGGTGGAATCCATAACTTCTCTTGATGTCTCCAGCATTTCCTGCATTTTGATACCAAGAAGCAGCTATATTACACTCAGACAGAAGAGTGCACATAAAATATATAATAAAAAAGCAATCGAGTTATTCTTGCTTCCTGTGCAGAGATCTGCATTTCCTACATCTTAGATTTCCCTATACATACACACCATTTGAAAGTATATGCCATTGCAGTGACTATGGCTTTGATGCTGCTGAGATGAGGATTCCTTTCTTCTCCTAGCCCTTTCAGTCCAGAGCCTTTCTAGAGTTATGCTCTGGTTATAGACTATCCATGTATATCTCTGAATACTTTCCTGGCA